GCCCTACTGAACTTGTGAGGTTGCAAATAAATAAATAAATAAATAAAAATAAAAATAAAATAAAGACAGGAAAGAAAGGCAAGGGAAACTTTCTGGCCTCCCTGGACTCATGAAGGCTTATTTGCATATCCTGGTGAACCCAGACTCCAGCATTTACAGTACAAGGCTTTCCTTTGGCCCCCTCCTCAGCACCCAGAGGCTTTACCAAGACCAGGGATACTCTGATAGCAGCGTCCCATACACATGCAGGCCCCTCATCAACAGAGCCTTTCATCCCTACACAGGATCTTGCGCTCCCGAGGGGGGCAGCCTGAACAAACAGCAGGCCGCCGTCTCTCTGCCAGAGGGAATAAAGCTAACCCCATATGGGAGGGTGTGCGGAGGGTCAGGTCCAAGATAACGGCGGTCCAGATGCACACGTCAGTCCTGCAGGGTCTCTAAAATCAATCATAGGCATGACCCTGGGGACAGGACTCATGAGGGAGTTTGAATGGTGAGCAAGACCATCTAACTTGGGACAAAACCATCAGCTTCCTCCATTTCTCAGCAACAAGGTGGCCCGCAACATCGACTACCCTTGCAAAAAACAGGCTGAGCAGTAAGGACCTGAATCAAGGAGAAGGAGTCTGGAGCCAGGAAGTCTGTACCCAGATCACATAAGTTTTCAGGACACCGGTGCGGGACCTATTAGTGAGCCTGATGAACCATCATGTCAAGAAGTTCCTATCCGGATGCCAGAACCCAGTAGCGGGGCCAGAAGCCTGCCGGTATGCCTTCCTTCCCATAGCTCCATTAAGAAGGACGTTCAACAAGATCACAAGGGACAGGGCAGAAGTGGCGTTTGCGACCACCCACCAGGAAACTACCTCTGAGAACAGATCGGTCACACCTAGGGCCCATCCTACACCTAGAACCAGCTTGGTTACAATTGACTGCACAGAAATTGATCACAGACAATCACAGGCGCTAGGTTTTCCAAGAACATAGGGTTACCAGGTCCGAGGCAAGGGGGCCATCAACAAAGGCGCCCCTCCAGTCACCTATGGAAGACATTTCAAAATGGGCCTCCGCCAATGGAGTACAACCTTTGGCACCACCTGTCAGACACAAGTTCCCGACATGGAGACAAAGGTCCCTGACATAGAGCCTTCTTCAATGTGTTGTGCACATTGACTAAAACTGATCATATTACCTTCCTTCTGCTCCAATCTGGAGCAACCTACAGTACAAACCTGGCACAACAGGGCGTACGGAGGAGCTCTCTCTATATATCTCCCTTTCGCAGGTCAGACCCGCTGTTTGTATGACGAAGAGGGTCCCATAGACCATAGTGGTCTACTGGATTGGACAGTTATGGTCAAAGCCTATGAAGGGACAAGAATGGGCACCACCAGGTCAAGTGACTGCGCACTCCACAGGAGCATTATCCAAGCGAGCAACAGCGGATGGATTCTGCAGAGCAGGTACCTGGGCCTCCTTGTCCACATGGTGAGGCACTACAGGAGGGGCCAGGCGGTGTCGATGTAGCCTTCGGCAGACCAGTACTACAACAAGTTTGAGAGAGATAAGTCACCCACCCTAGAAGAGCAGCTTGGGTACTGCTAACCAGTTCCTGGATGACTTCCCCCCACTGAAGGAGAACGGTACATTGGACCTACCTGAAGGTTCTTTCTCTTCAGTGGGGGAGAAGTCATCCACATCCCACCCAAACTGGATACCAGAAATAGACCAGGGTGGCAAAAAATAAGGACTGCAACAGCACAACTTACAAATACCGTGGACTGAAACAAAGAGATGAGATGAGAGTAACCCACGGACAGGGCTTGGACATAACTGGAGAGGTCAGCCTAGGCCACTCCAATAGGAGCCACCCAACAAAAGAAATTTGCATAGCCTATCGAGCGAATAGAGGCGTGACCTAACCAGTTCCTGGATGACTTCTCCCCCACTGAAGAGAAAGAGCCTTCAGGTAAGTCCAATGTACCGTTTTCTTCATGGGAACTGATCTCTGTCACCTGGAGATCAATTTTAGTAGTGGGAGATCTCCAGGACCCACCTGGAGGTTGGCAACTGTACCCATTGTTCCAAAACCTAGTATGGCCTTTCTATTGTTTAAACATCAGGGCCTTTGTTCTTTCTAAACTGCAGCCTGAAATAATTATCAGTTTTATATTTCTTATATAATAGATAATTCTGAGAAGCTTGATTTTTCTAGTTTCTCTCTCTGGGCCTTGAAATACAGCCTTATCTAAATCATGGCCATGGGTGGTCATGTAGGATAAGGAGAAAATGCAGTGGTTCTGTATGCTTTGCTTACTATTAGTTCTTGATCCTGGAAAGACAGGACAGGATCTTTGTCTTTATTCTTGGCATCGTTCCGATGCACTCGGCGGGATGAATGGTGAGTTGTGGCTCGAGAGGAAGGTGGAATGAGACGTCCTGTTTCTTCAGAGTACTGAGTCTCTCTCTTAAGCTTCTGTGTCTTCAAACACAACCAGATGCAGTCACATTAGAAGTCTCACAAACCAGGCAAGGCAGCTATGCTGGTGGTCTAATGGCTGGAATCTCTGACTTGAATATACACCCCAAGGTTCCACCCGCCAATAAATGAGAGAGCAGTTCCTCAGGCAACAATTTATCATTTGTTGTGATTTTGGCTTCTGAAGGATTCTGAAAAACTACCTCGGAAATATACTTCCCTTCACATACAACTTTGGTATTACCATTGAAACAATCCTCCTTTATTTAGAGAGTTTGTGGGCCATCTATTGGTGACCAGCTAGTGGGAGAAAAAGACTTAAGAGAGTGGAGGTTTTAAAGCACTCTGAGTAAGTTTGTGAAGAAAAGACAGCTCAGTGCAGCATTGTTTAATCTGCTGTTTATAAAAGAGACCAAATTGTAGAGTTCAGTGAATTTGAAAAGAGCACAAAGAGCTATCCAAAAGGGGGGGAAATGCCACAGGGAAACAGAGCCCCAGTGAGGTTTGCCCCATTATTTCAAGTTTGTTTGTAAAAAATGCTGTTTGTGTCTTCTGTTTTCATACCAACTCACTTCTACTGCTCTGTTGCTACTCTTTCATAGGGTTCTTTTTGTAGCAGGAACTCCTTTGCATATTAGGCGACACACCCCTAATGTAGCCAATCCTCCAAGAGCTTACAGAGCTCTTCTTACAGGGGTTACTGTAAGCTCTTGGAGGATTGGCTACATTAGGGGTGTGTCGCCTAATATGCAAAGGAGTTCCTGCTACAAAAAGAGCCCGTGTTCCATAAATCGGTTCTCTCTAGTGTGGTTTTGAAACTGTCTGTATGATTAGAGCTGATTTTTTGGAGGGGCGAGGTTAGTCTACGTTAGCCACAGAGATTAGACTATAGCAGTGCTTAGGGTATTGTCTGGTGCCCTTGCCTCTTGTGCTGATAGTAGAATGCTTGCATTTCCAGGACTGGAGATTGTTAAAGACCCTTAGCCCCGGCCTATGATCACCATCTAGTGCAAAGGTTTGCACATGAAGCCCCCTTGGTTTCAATACAACATAAAGTGTGCATAACTATTTATTATACTTATGTTGTTACGTTATTTATAGTCCACCTTTCTCATATGGACTCAAGGCGGATTGTATAGAATGAGTCAGTACAATCAATGAAATAGGATCTTCAGTAACTAATGCATTATGATACTAGAAGACTGGAACTGCCAGAAAGAACAGGAGCATAACATAAACATTAACACGACCCATTAAGCGGTACAAAAATTACATGATAGGATCCTGCAGACAATACACTATATACAGCAGTAAAGACCACAAGTCCCAATCACCTATTCAAGTAAATTTGTGAAACCATTTTGTACCGTGTAGCCTTATTATAACAACTTATTGTGGTACAACTGAAGCAAAGAACACGAAGACGATCAGAAAGTTCTCTCATAACAACTAACATAGTAACATATAAACGTGGAAGATGAGCAGGAACTCTATGAGTATATTGTGATATTAACTCTTGTGGTACTAACATTTACACTAACAGAAATAAGATCTCCTCCTCTTGGGTTTTTAGTTTAGTGTGGTTATATTTCCTTTATCCCTAGTTGTAGTTTCCCCTCCTAATTTTCTTTGTAGTTTGTAGTTTAATGCAAAATAAAAATATCCCTTCTGGGTTTTTAAAAAACCCAAAAAACTTATTGTGGTACAACTTACTGTCATACGATTGACTATGCATCTACACTGGATTGTTTCTATGTCTGTACATTATCCTGTTCATTTTCATGCCTTACTAGAGCTAGACACTGATTATTCGAATCTATGCTTTTAAGACATTGTTGTGTGGTGGTTAGAGCATCACACTGGTAGGTAAGAGAAGCGTCCCAAACAAATCAAAATACTTACTGTCTCCCTTTTCTCTGTGAAGGAAGCGGCTCTCAGTCTTGCAGCGAGTTCTCTCAATTCATCCCTCCATGCATCTGACAAAGAGCCTTTGACAGAGAGAAAACCAAAAGGAAGGGAGGAGGCACAAGGAAAAGGACCATCACTAAATGGCAGAATGCAGTCATGTTTGCATACGGTCCCTCGTTCAGTCCCTAATATTCTCAGTAAAACAGGGTTCACCCATTGCATTTTCCAGGAATACTGTTCAACAGTATGCCTACTCCTAAAAATGCAATATGTGCAAGAAAGAGACTCATATTTGGAAACATTATTTCATAAGTATGCTCATATAGAAACCAGGAGTAGGTTGTGTTCCTTGCTGAATGTATGCTCAGTGGCTAATCTGGGTTTCATAGAAAAAGTCCCAGCATGTTTTGTCCTAGCATTCTCCCTGATGTGTTGGATTTTAATGCACAAGGAACATTCTTGTGGGTTGCTGTGGAAGGCAATTGTTTCAAGCGTTGTTGAGCCTTTGGTAATAATTTTATTGGCAGGCTCCAAAATAGTCCAGAGCCCAAATATAATCTGTTGAGATCTTGGAACCCAGCCCTAGAAATAATTTCCCTTTCTCTGCTTTAATTGGGCTTCTGCTGATCATGAGTGTTCTCGGGAGGCAAATTCTCATCTTGATGATATTTAATGGTGCAGTCTGTGGTTTAATTACTTTGATGCTCCTTGTACATTAGGACAGATTGCAGGCACTGGAGCGGCTCTTAGATCAGGCTAGCTTTGCTGTCACGCGCTCTGTGTGATAGTAAAAGACCTGCATCAGAGACCACAGAAGACCTGCTTCCTATGCCAAGTGCAAAATGATCTCTTTGTCAAAGACGCTATGCTTTGGCAGCAATGGGGACAGCGGCTCGGAGAGGGAGGACAAAGAACCAGAAGAAGAAGGAGCAGCGAAGGGCTCATTTTACAATCTGAGAGATGTAAAAGGAAGACAACCCAGAACATGAAGATTGGTTCGGAAAACGCACTAGAGGACAATATTAACAATTAACCAAAAGGACATTACTAATAAATTTAACATTTTAATTTTTTACAGGTCAAGATGAAGGACAATCGGTCAAACACAGAAGAAGCCAAAGAATTTACATATACTAACAAAAGATTAACATACTAATATGAGCATCACTCACTCTATTCTTAATCCCACTATATACCCTCCCTTTTTTTCTGAAAAGTAAAAGCAATAAAATTCTCTCCTTTTTAGGAGAGTTCAATTAAAAAAAAAAGACGCTATGCTCACAGTGGGCAGTAGAAGTCTCCACCCTGCATTAGTGTCAGAGACCTTGACTAGCTTGAGCAAGTCAGCACTGTTACTGGTTACAGCTGCCACCTTTTTATGGACAACAGCTCCTGGATAAGGGCATAACCATTGCCATAGTCAAGAGGGGGAAATGGCAGGGTAACTTGTTCCTTCTGTCCTGTGAAGTTGCTATCCCCCCACCCCCCAAAAAAGCTGCTTTTCTGTGGAGAAACTACAGATGGGCATTCCAGCCCCTTGAAAGTATCTCTCAGCCCTGAACAGAGCAGCTTTGTCGAGTGTGAATCTAGGTGAAGAGCACACGTAAATACTGACCTATGGTTAGCATGGGGACTGGAAAAGGCTGTGGATCCCCAATGGGCATCTGGACTCCAGGGTCTCCCGGAACTGAAGTACGAAACTGGCTTTTTATCACGGGAGGAGGTGGAAGCATAGTCTGCTCAGACCACTCGTCATTAACTTTGCAAACAAGAGCACCATTCAGGCCTGCAAAAGAAAGAGACATCCACAGGAAAGAAATGCAGCATAGAAGATCTTTAGTTAAAGCTGTCTGGAGCCACCTGCTTTCGCTCTGCTCTGGAAAGGTTTGACGGACTCAGATTTACATTGGGACCACACAACGTAGCATTCAGACAAGAATAAAAGAACGTGAAAGACACTGCAGATTTGGCCAACCTGAAAAATCAGCAGTGGCTGAACACAGCCTAACTCAAACAGGACACAGTATTTTGTTCCAAGACACTGAAAGGCTGGAAAACACTTCCAATTACCATGTCAGATTACACAGGGAAGCCATTGAAATTCATAAACATAAACACAATTTCAACAGGAAAGAAGAGAGTTTAAAAATAAATAGGGCATGGTTTCCTGTCCTGAAAAACACAAAAGACTATATCTGACAATAGCACTACAGATAAGATTAGAATTTCAACAGCCAATCCATATACAAAAGAACCTCCTCAGGAAGGCTCCTCTATTAGCATATTCATAGCCTGGGGAACTCCTACAAGATAATGACTCAGCCCTACCCCACCTTCTGGAGTAGATATAAATTACCTGCCTACCATTTTCTTTCTCACCTTGACACAGAGAGTACTCCATCTTTCTGTGTTATACCTCTGAGGATGCCAGTCACAGCTACTGGCAAAACGTCAGGTTCTACAATGCCAAGACCATGGCCACACAACCCAGAAAATCTACAGCAACTAATGGACTCAGATTTGTCACCCTCATGTCTGTTGAGCCTTTTGCACTCCCTCTTAGAAGACAGCTCAGATTCTGAAAACTCTGTTCTTGCCCACCTTTAATTGTACTGTTAGATGGGGCTGTTTCTGTGGCATTCAAATGCCAGGGACTTTGCAGCTGCCCTCCAGGACTTTTTGCCTTCTAGGAACCTCTATCACCTGGATTCTGTTATATCTTCAGTCCATTCTGGCAAAGTACCTACATGCTCCTTTATCCTGGAACCCCCCATCATTGCTTCTCTATTACACTGGGAAGAGGTGATTGGCAATGAAGAAGTGTCAGATGGGGAAGTTAATTCCCTCCCTCTGCGACTCTCATGCTTTTGTCCCCATATGCTGCTTTCAGACATGTCTTTGTGAGGTATATTCTGGGTCAGAGAATGTGTGGCTGGCTACTAATATTAATCTGTTGGTTACTAACATTTACCCTCAGAAACTAGCATATAAAAACATATAAAAACATATTTAGATTTCAAAATTTTTATTCAATCAATTATATTTCATAGATTTCTTTTCAGCACCTGGATTGATTTTTATCCCGGCCTTCTTTGAAATAAAATCAGAATTATTTATAAGCATGTGACTATATCCTATATATTGTACAGCAGTGTTCGATAAATTCATTTGGTTTTGTAATTCCATGCCAGAACTTGGCTCCTCCCCCTTTGTTGCACAAGAAAAGCACCTTTATGGTTTTCCTCGGTCCCAAATGCTTACCTTGGATGTGAATCACTCGGTGGGGGTGGGGGTTGTGCCGTGAGAAGAAGGAGTGATGGCTGAGACTGCCGAACCGAGCAGTGTTCTTGGATTGGGGCCTCAGGGCCTGAACACTAAACCGGAGTGGAGCATTTAGGGCCATGTGTTTCAGTTTTCCTGCTAAAGTTGCAATGGTCTTGCCTCTAAAGGTGCTCATAACAGGACCCTTTGGCTTCTCCGTTTCTTTTTTAGTTGACATTTCCTCAGTTCTTGGCAGGGATGGAGAAAGAAGAACAGAGATGGTGATGTTATAAAGATGAACCTTAGAATCTGACAGATCTTCCAGGAAAGCAACATAATTTAGTTCCTTTTTACAGTTTATGTAATACAGTCCTGCCTGCCAGGTTTATCATTCCAAATCAGTGAAAGTCTCCATAAGAATGCAGTGGAGATGATTCAGAAGATTTTAAGCACTTGTAAACCCCAGCAAAAGCAACAAAGCCATGTTTAACTCCCTGTCTCTGAAGTCGTTGGATCTAGAGGGAGCTTAACATTGCCTTTAACAATATGCAAGTCTGTTTTTTTGCAGTCATTTATATTCCAAAGAATCCAACCAGCCTGACAGAGTCTGCTCTTTAGGCAACCCAAGAAACATTTTCCTTTTGGAGGGTATATTTCCCCCTTTGTGATGTTAGTACTTACCTGCAAGGCTGCTGCAAAACGGATTATCTTGAGAAAGAGAATGGTGTGTAGTATGGTTTGCATGTAGTACAACTGTATATGATAGAGGTTTGTTGTGACTATATGAGGAAGCCTTAGCTACTTGAGCGTGGAACCTGAGACCTACAAGCTCCGAAAGAATGTGCTGAAGAGTCCACAAGCTGAACATTTAAAAACTTCTTCTCTTCTTGTGTTTTGGAAAGGTGACACAGGGTCTTCTCCATACCACTTAGTGAAATCATATTCTCAAATTTCACAACCCCCCCCCCCCATCATTCCAGGACATATTTGTTGGCCAGTCATCAGAAGGAACCTTGCATCATAAGCATAAATAAAAGAGAGGGTACCATTGTGAGGAACCACTGAACCATTGTGTCTCTACCTCACTTGTTCCTGTGCATGTCATCTGGAACAGACAGTTCAGCGTAACCTGTGCTTTGTTGATGTTACCTTGTTGTATCTGGTATATACACAGCATGTGCTGCCGGGAAATTGTGTCGTTAAACTAGGCTGCGAGGTTTTTAAACTGTTTTTGTTTTTGCAGGGGTGAATGGAGTCAGCAAGCTATTACTGGAGACAAAGATCAGTGCTGGAACCTGTTTTCAGCACTGCAGTTCCAGAAAGTATGACGTGTTAATTAATATGATTGCATAAGGACATCTTCCAGCACTTGCTAGCATTTCCACCTAAATTTATTTTTGAGGGATGTACTGTTGACCCCAAAATGACACTCCTGTGTCACAGAAGACACTGGAGTGGCGTGGCTGAGACACCATCTCGGCCAAATCAAGGGAACTTTAAGTGACCCTTTAAGGAAATATAACTGACTTCCTGTAATGAAGTTCTGAAACCTTTCTGCCACAAGCCTTGTCTTGTCAGTCACTGAGATTATCCCAAAGCAGAGAGCCATCAAACCCTTTTCTCTGTGGCCACAGCAAGGAGGGAAAGGTTGACTAGGAAGAATATCTTGGCCAGCTGTAATACCTTGCTGAGCACTGGCTTTGATCTCTCTGTTCCACGCCTGATGTTTGGGTGCGGCTAGAGTGCATGCAGAACAGCAAGAGCTGAAGGGCTGTTAGCCCTTTGGCTCTTAGCCAGTGACTGAATCCCGATGCAGCAAAGACATAGCTTGTTATTTTGCTTGTTGGTTACATATTGCTGTTATACTTTGGGTCACTTCAGGGAGAAAAGCAGTATACGGATATTTACTTCTGTAAATAAAAATAAAGACATAAGCGTATTCATACGCATTTAGGTAGGGCAAGCAAACTCTTGTCCTGGATTAAATAACTTGTCTCCTGTATCTGACGGCCACTGACCCCAGAGTAACTCTCAGTAAAGGAGTCCCAGTCCCTTCTCTCAAACCATATGACGCCCAAAGACCCATGAATTTGGAGACAAAAGGAGGGCTTTCAAAATCCCAAATGGGGTCAGCTGACCCCCAAACAGCTCTGTGTCACCACGCTTCTGCACCTGAGCACTGAAACAATGCACATGCTTCAAGATAAGGCAAATTAGGGCTTCCTTTTCATTAGGGTTGCCAACCTCCAGGTAGTGGCTGGAGATCTTTTGTTGGTATAACTGATCTCCAGGTGACAGAATTCAGTTCTCCTGGAGAAAATGCCTCCTTTGGAAGGTGGACTGAATGGCATTATACCCTGTTGAGGTCCCTCCCCTCCCCAGGCACTGCCCTCAGATCTCCAGGTGTTTCCCAACCTGTAGCTGTCAACCCTACTTCTGACATCCTTGTCCTCTTTTTACCCTCTCTCTCTGCCCTTTATCAGGGAATCTGCTCTTGGCTGATCCCACATCTCCTCCCTCCTTCTCTGGCTGATTCTCAACAGCCTTCCAAGTTTCTCCCTCTCAGTCTTAGCCGATCGTTAGTAAAATTCTCTTTCCCTGTGCCTTTCCTCCCAACTCTGGCCGCCCTTCTCTTTCCTTCCTACTTTCCAAATGGGTCTGTTTTTCATTTCTACTCTGAGCAACCCCCCCAGCTCAAGCATTGCCTTAGTGACCATCACCCCCCCCCCAGACCCCTTGCACCTCTGCCCCAAAGGTTTCTCTTTCTAATAGCCATGGTGATCTCCTCTGCAACCACACTTCTAAGTCTCTCCCACTAAAGTTTCCATCTTCTAGTGCCCCCCTTTCATCCCTTTCTTCTACATTCGGTCTTCCTGCTTCCCTATACTTAGGCGACACTTTTCATGCAACCACAACAAGGCAGCCACTGGCAGGTTCCTTCCATAACACCAAGTGTCTGTTGAACTGGTTCTTACTGGGCTTTTTTTTTTTTTGATGCTGCTGCTTATATAGTGAATCATTTTATTGCTTGCATTGTGTTTTTAATTACTTCTTGTCTGTCTTTTTATCTATCCCATTGTAGCCAATAAAACAGAACCTTGGAATTTAGAATTGCCTCTTCTGTTTTTTCCATGGTATCTTCTCCAAATATGCTTGTGTAGATGTATTCTCAAAGATCGTGCATTAGGGTAAGGTGTGCACCTATGAAATGCACTGTCCACTTATTCTTTGACCTGTACCACCCAAGGAAGTGTAAAGCAAACGTCATTTAGGTTTGTGAGGGAAAATATCTGTCTACACATAAAAGACTGGTGCAGCCACTCTTGATGGCTTAATTTGAGCCACAACTGACCAGTATTGGACCTGAAATTCATTTTGGAGTTTGGTGATGAACCTTGGAGCCCACTCTTTTATTTCAAGAATACAGTGGCACTGTTTTTCTAGGTCAACTGGATAAACTTATGGGTCTGAAAGTATGGAGAATGTCCTCATGCCATAAATTCCACATAACCAGGACTGAATTAGGAGGTTTCTTCAGCCAGGGAGCGGCCTCCAGTAGGCTCGATCCCTGACGCGTCTCGATTTATAACTATAGGTCATGAGCCAACCTGTATTGTGGTTTTAAATCTCAGTATTTTACAGTCTCATTGATTTCAGTGGGAGATATTTCAGCAGTTGTTTAACTTTGGAAATTAACGGAACTTTAACTTTGGCTGGATGGTGTCCATAGTATTGAGGAGGAATATTATGTTGTAGCCCGAGGAGAGATCCAATTTATGGTCCCAGGATGCTCTCTATAACAAAAATGACCACTTTTTACCAGAATAAGGGGGGAAGTTCTACTCCCCTGATCAAGCCGTTCCTTCTTAAATAGGAGAAGTGGAGAGATTTGGATACTCACTCTGTTTGTTGCGGATGAGGGCTGGATTTCTTCATACCTGAAGCCATTTTAAAATGTCTGTAACAATAAACAAGTGAGCCTTCACTATTGCATTCCTGTCTGGCACACAGTAGTTGCACAGATATAGGGAGATACTCCATGTCACCTGCAAGGAAAGGAAGTATCCTGAACTCTGTTATGATTTAAGGTGAACTTAATAGGACAATGTAGCACAGCTAATGCAAAATAACACATTAACTAACGTCAGCCATCCTCTCCTGATAACATAAGGTCAGTTATAAAAGTGAAGCAACTGTATTGTCTGGATTTGCTTTTGGTAATTATTGAATGTTGCTGTATTTCATCATGTGCCTACTTCCAGACCGTTCTGATAGCACCTGCTTTTGTCATGCAGAAGCCAAGCTGGTGCATTACTCCATTTTTTAAAATATAAGGCAACTCATGACCAGTGGATTTGTTGGCTTAGAGCTCACAAGCTGCAAGCACTCCACAAGAAGTGGAGGTGGGGTGCTTGCTCAAGTGCTACTCGTTTATTTTTATTGTAATTATTTTAACATCATTAAGAGAGGTCTAGGTGTTGTATATGACACAGGTGATGGGGCCCATCTTTCCAAACAACTGGTTTGCCACAGTAGTGCTGAAGTACATAAGAACAGAAAAGCCTGATGGATCAGACCCGCAAGGCATCTGGTTCATTATCCTGTTTCACACAGCAGTCAACCGGTTGCCCTGGAGGGCAAAACAAACAAGGTATAGAGCAGGGGACCCCAACGTGGTACCCGTGGTCACCATGGCACCTGTTGACATCTTTCCTTGGGCTCACCAAGGGTTTTTAGAAAGTGAGTGGGGCCAGATGGGGCTTTTGCCCAGCAAGGCTTCTGATTGGCCATTGAAGATTTGATGGGTTGTGCAGACTTTTAAAAACATTGCTTTGACAGCAACTGCCATCACATCTCAGGGATCTTCACTGTGTGATTGAAGATAAGTTGCTTCCGGTCTGGCTCCCGCGTATGGCGGACGCATCCTCGGGTCGCTCCCGAGGGCGCCTCGCCCGCCCGCGGTGGAGGAGGGAATCCGCGTGAGCGGAGACCCGAACGAGCCCCTCAGGAGAGAGGAGCTCGGATCCGGGGCGCTTTAGGGCGCACTAGGGGGGAGTCGCTCTTTCGGCCGAGAGGTCGGAGAACGAGGCTT